ATAGACATTAATACACAGTATATTGTACTAATTAAGGATGAATTTAAATACATGCGTTTAGATTAAAGTTACACCCAGTACGTATTGAAAGATTAAAGGGTATAGGAGAAAGATGGCTATGAATAAAAATATCCTTGAATATTTTGTAATGGTTCGTTAGAACTATACAACACCAGATATATATAATTTTTGCTTTCAAACATGAATCTGAAGACATTAGGATTCGAAGTTGAATGATTTAGAAAATCACTATTTAAAAGTATATCTTAGGTCTAAGGCTTTACTTATAATTATTGTATTTGTTAGTGCTTAGAGGTTTAGGTGAAAGTTCAGCAAGTCACCAGCAGGTACTTCTAGATTACTGTAATCCTTCATTTCTTAGTGCCTTGTATTTGAGAAAGTCGGGTGAATGAAATTTTTTTACTCCTTAGACAACTTCAGGAGTGTGATTGCAACCTTCAAGGATTGACCTTTTTCCACAAATGTTTTTTGGAAATTATATTTTGCATTATGAAAGATCATTATTTCTGTTGTTGAGTTGTCATTAATATAGTTATCTAGTTTTGATTACCTAATCAGTTGAAAGTTTGATCGTCTATTGCGTTATTTGAAGTGATACTTTAATAACAATTATTTCAAGCTCACATGCACCATATTCCCCTGTGAAAAAAATAAAAACCTTTAACCACATCATTATCATTCTTTAGGCATGGATAATTATAATATTTAACTATTGTTTCATCACTCTTTAAGTTATTCAGACTTTGTGGAGTTTTACTGTAGTTGCTCAAAAAAAGCTTGTTATCACAAGAACAAGATAAGCAAAACAATATAATATCTGTTTGTTCAATGACTAGCTTATCAATGTTTTCTGTTTTTTTCTTTTTTTGCCAATTGCATCTAGGTATTATATTAGAGATTGTTTTGAAGCCGTACAGTAATATCAGTTATGTCAAAATGGTTGGTAAATAATTATTTTTCAAAATTGAAATATTTTAAAAAACCTACATCCTTTAGAAATTGCTGACAATTATGTACAAATGCAATATCATGTGGTTCACAAACAATGCACTGATTTCTAATTGACTAATGCAGAAACATAAGCCCAAATTCCATACACAGATACATACCATAAAGTCATTAATATGAATAATATTAATTTCCTAAACATTTGGTCATTGACTAAAACAAATCTAAGTTAGGAATATTTTTTAACCATTTTATCAGAAGTGTGAAATTATATTATCAGATGAAATACATAAAGGTAACCAGTTAATAGCTCATTGAAACAAAGTTATGTTTTTCATGCTGATTAATCATAATTCTTTGGTTTGAGGGAAAAGAATTAATTAGACGTTGATATATCATTTGACTTTAAGTTTTTTAATAATCTGTGGTCATGCATTTAATAATAAATAGTACTAAATGTCAGGTTAATCCTAGCTAAAATATTTAATGTTTAGGTAGATTTTGTAGTTTT